GTACTGACATAAATGAACATTTGCACGATATTCTAATTTTTCGAGTTTCACCTGTATTTTCAGTGCCTGCAAACTAGATTTGAATGCAGAACATTCAGTATTTCTACTTTATTTTTCCATGTCAACATTACTGCACGCAAGCTCTTTTCAGAGTTAACCAAAGTCCAAAATCAATGACTCGGCATTGATTTTCTAAACAGCCACACACATTTTAACCCTACCTTGGAATTAATGACACTTTTTGTAAATCTAGTTGCCAGGATTTCAGCATTCTGATTCATTTCCCATATACACGAAAAGGCAAGCCTAAAGAAAGGAAAGGAAAGGACACCACTAGCCAACTTGAACGGGAGGTGTTCACAAGGTCAGCAGATGACCCTTTCGCCCTTCTATTTCAGGGCATCCCCCGCCCGAGTTCCAGCTGCTTGCACCACAGGTCTCTCCCGGCCACAGAGCCTCCCAACCCTCAAGCGCTGGATTTGGGGAGCGTGGGCCTCTGGTAGAAATGCAGCCGGTGGGACCGGCCTACCCCATTGACAATACCGCTTCCCATCCCCAAAGGTAGAGGAGTCAACACCTAAACATTGGCCTCTTATAATTACCTGTCCACATTGGATCTCAGTGAACATAAGTTGGAACTCAGCAGGTCTGGAACCATATCAATTCTCTACAAGAAACAGAAATGGCGTTGTGATCTCTTTTAAAATGAACACTTCTAGAGAGCAAGCTGAGAGAGATATTCAGGCAACCGCAAAAGACTCGCCAGGCCTCAGACATGATCCTTCCCCACACACTCCAACGCTCACAGGCAACCCAAACACGCCAGGACAATAGCAGCTTTGACTTCCATCTTACTCAAAGTGAGAATATACTTTTGGGGGGGGGCAGCCAAGCTACAAGCAAGAGAAGAAAACAAAAATTTACTTTTTCGCACAGATACACTGTGGTGCCCCTTTTTGCCGATTCTTGGTCTAGAGCATTTCCCGGGCGGATGAAGTGGCTGACGTCTGCAATGTGCACCCCAACCTAGAAAACAAAGAGATTCTTTAGCGTTCAGGACAGTTTACCTTGTCCTGAATTTCTGCCTGCCTCAAGAGCGCCGTACGAAGTTATCTTCCCCCGTTATCTTTTCCTTCCAGGCCTATCCCATTTTCAGGGCTTCCCAAAGAACTGTAAAACATCCTTGCCCAAACAAAAATATCTCTGTAGGACAATCCTTCAACCTTTTTGGCTGTTATGGGGTAACTGCAGTTAATCCACCCTCGATGCTTTTGCCCCTTCACTGCAGGCAGAACTCAGAATGCCCAAGAAGAGCTCCGTAGAAAGATGAGAGCGCACACCAGCCTTTCAAAGACATTTGAAAGAACTTGCCTCCAGATTTCCATTTTCCAGTTCTCTGCAGTGCAGCGCATCATCAATATCAGTGCACCCAGGAGGATCCACGCTGCACACGCACAGATGCCTCAAGTCCTCTCTCTGCTTCATATCCTGAAATTTCATTTGTCAAAAAGAACTTTACGCTGTTGTCAAAAGTACTCTCAAAACCACCAAGTCACGAGGCTTGCTAATTCAGGTTAGTTTCTGTTGAATGCCACTTCTGTCTGAATAAAACCAACGAAACAATTTTGTGGCACCTTAAAGTCTAGCAAAGACATTTTCATATATGCTTTAGAAGCCACAGAATTCTTCTAGCAGCTTAAAAAAATTAAAGCAGTTATGTGAACCATACGCAGAGAGAAAACTGCAACTTAGAACAAAAAAAAATTACCATGCAAAACACAACAAAGACAAGATGAAAATAAAAGGATACCAAAAAAAAGTCTTAAGGAACCATGATGTTCTGCAATTACTCACAACATACAACAACTGCTGACTATAAGAGGGAGGTGCTAAGCAGACGCCTACTTCATGCTATTAGCAGAAGAAATATAAACTAAAAATCAGCGTCACTGAACACTGAATTTCAGTTTATTCTACCTAAAGCTGGAGAAAAACTTTATTCCACAGCTCAATGAGGAAAATCTTTGGGCCAAGGCAGAAATAAAACAAATTCCGTCATTCTTATAGACTTCATCTCTCGGCAATGTAACACGAACTGCAGTGGAACAGTTATGTGCCTCACGCTAAATGTGGCGGGTTGGCTTGCAACTGACGCCATTGCTTACCTGGTCAGTGATGTTCCAGGGCATCTGTGGCAGGAAACTAAGGACCGCTTGGGAAAAGGGCTGATGAGGAACATCATGTTCAAGGAGCAGGACTTCAGTCTCTGTTTCCTTATCACCGGCTGCTCCTAAATTCTTTACAAAATGTCCCTAAACCAATATACAATTTAATCAATACTATGAGAAAGAGCAGATTTGGGGGGGGGGAGAATAAAGACAATTGGAAGAATAGTATTTTAAGAGGCCACCCTACATCTGATGGAGACTTACAAAAAGATCTAAGCTCTGGTCAGAAACAGTACAGTTCTGTATTATTTGGAAGACCTTTTACAGGTTGGGCTGTTTGTAATTTCTGACTTTTGCAGAAGGTTTTGAACCAGGACAAGAGGAACCTGGGTTCCATGGCAAACTGGATCACAACAGTGATAAATTCAACCTGTGTTTGAAAAAAGAGAATTGTGGAAAATAGCTCTATAGACAGAGATTGCCCAGAGATTAAAAGCAAAGGTCTCCCGTGACTTGACCTTCCCTTGTGGGTCTACCTGGGCACTTCCTGTGGGACTAATATGGAAGTGGCTTCCTCTTATTTTTTTCCAATATTTTTTTTCAACTTATCAGTCTACTCTACAACCCTGGCAATCTCCCATTAAAAACAATTACCAGGTGTAACCTTACTCTGGTTGTTTTGGTTATCAGCCAAAGCTGACTAAGCATCTTCTGTTTTTTTCTTGTAACAGTTCAACCGTCTGTTAATCTTCAGCAACTACTAAGCATGATTATGTTTCCTTTCTGACTTACATTAGGATATCGTGATGTTTTAGGCCACCCGTCAATAGCAACAATAATTCTTTGCCCTTCGAGGATAGAAGCCTGCCTTGTTTCTATCCGAATTCGAGGAATTCTTCGATCAGCTGGCGTAAATAAATGCCGCCTCGCCTGACAGGGAGCAAAGATGATAGCTTTCATTACAGTTGTTAAGGCGGTGGCCAAATCAAGTGTCCAGTCATCATTGTTCTTACCTCTTTTATGTGTGACTTAGACAGCATGCCACAAAAGGGTCTCCAGTTCCTTTTTATAATTCCCACCACTCTGCCTGTTGGTCGTAGCATCGCCTTATTCACTGAAGTCTTCAGCTGAGGATTTAAGAGCATACAGCTGCAATTAAGCCTGAGGTTGACAAACAGGTAGCCCAATCAGGTAAAGGCAGAACTTCTATATCCAGGTTACACCCTATATTTGTAAGAAATGGTGTATCCCGCCCTTGTGACGTCTGCACACCACTCAGGGTGGGCAACAATAGTTCAAACAAGTGCAAAATAGAATAATACAGAGAAGACTAAAACACTTATAAAAAAGATTTTAGAGGAAAAGCAGGAAGGTACAGCACATGACACGTTTCATTAATGGTACTGCTTGTGGGAGCAGCTGGTGAACGACGATCAAAGAAAAGTCTAGTTCACTGAAAGACCCCTCTCTCTGGTGTCTCCTGCCAAACAGGCTTCAGCCACAGCTGAGGACAGAAAGGCTTTACAGGACATTTCACAGCAGCCACCTCAAGGCTGGGTTTTCCGATCCCCTCTTCAACCACCGAGGAACCAACCAATCCGTCTTCCTCTGAGCAGACCTCCGCTCCCAGCTGCCTTGGCAGGAAAGGCAAGACCCCCAAGCCACCAAGGCCATTATGACATCATCTGCTTCATTTACATGCCTCCCCTTCAGAACGGGGGTCCTCCAGAGCCGGCAAAAAGGCTGGCTGTGTGGATTTAATGCTGGGCAGCCCCAGGAATCCACTGGGAATTTCTGCTGCTGCCAGAAAAAGAATGAAAATCCAAACGGTTTCCAGCCTTTATAGCTGCAAAACTAACTGGACTGTAGGCAGCACGAGTTGGACCTCAAGTGGTCAAGACTTCAGTAGCCTGGAGAAAACCCAAGAGTGTCCAAAGAGTAAAATTCTGCACGCCAAATCAAATTCTCTCTAGGAAAAGTCTGTGACTGTCAAACTGCGGAAGTGAATAAGCTTCCACTGGGCCTTCTGATCTGCTCTCACCCCCTTGGCATTCCGTTCTAAAGGAGGCCAAGCCAGCCTGCAGAACAGGCCCAGCCTGGCACCCTGGGAATCAGACTGGCCCTAGGGAGACTCAGGTTCAAGTGCTCCCTCAGCCACGGAAGCTCCTGAAGGGAGGGCAGGAGGTTAATCTAACACTTAAAGAAATAAGGCTCTGAAGAATAAAGCTTCTGCAAGCCCTGTTCTTCACTCAGGCACAGCTTCAAAGCCATAAAGGCTAGACATTTGCTTTTGAGGAGGAAATGCTCACAGGGCAGAATTTTGCCCCATTTCACAAAATCCTGTATTTCTTCTGAGCATCCCAGGAAAAGCACAATTTCCTGGTCATTGAACAGAACCAGCAACAGACAGCTTTCATCGCAAGAATGTGAAGGGAAAGCACAGAAGCAAAGAACTTGCCATGTTCATGTCATACATTGCTTTGATCCTCCTCTTCTTTTTCAATATCCTCCTCTTCCTCATTCTTGGTCTCATCGTCAAGCAGGACCACAGAGGACGGCGCAGCCCAGGCATCCTTGGACAGGAGCTGCACTGCTACGATATCCTCATGCACAGCACGATTTAAGTGCCTAAGTCCTTGTATTATTACCTGAGCACAAAGGAAACAATCAGATTTAGGTACCAAAAGCCGTACCTGGAGATGACATATGAGAAAAGAGATGTGTTCCAAGAGTCCTGAACTAAAGAAATATATAGTGACCCACTGCGAAAAGGATATTAAAGATCACCCATTACACTTAAATATACACACACACACACACACACATTTTCTCTCAGAGTTTCAGAGGGGCACTGTGTACAATAACTAACTTAAGAGGTCCCTAAACCTAGGAGTCAGAGTCAGCAGGTAGAGATAGTAAGAGGCCAGCAAGATCCATCTGATCCTTAACTGGCAGGGCAACCCTCCAGATTCTTTTTTAAAAAGATGTCCCTCCCACCAATGCACATTTTCTGCACCTACCTTACCCTTCCTTCCAACATGCAAGAGTTCAGAGACAGGCATCCCTGGATGACAGAATTACACATTTCTTAATACAGAATTTCACAGCCAATCAGTGCACCAAACAAACCTCTTTTTCTTCGTCATTCCCGTGAATCCAAACCGTGGCCTCCAAGTAATTGTCTCTGTTAGCTCTAAAGGTCCCTTGCAGGTAAAGCCCCGACTTAATGCCCTGCTGCAGTTTGCTGAGAGGGAGATGCTCCGGGAAAATGATCTTGCTGCTTTCAATTTCATTCTGCAAGAGACATTTGCACACAAAATGTCCCTTGCGCTGTTGCAGCCAATAATGAACTTCAGGACTAAATTTCAGCTCCTCAGATTGGAGCCAGGATTCAGCTGCCATCTTTTGACACAGGAGAAGGGAACACGTAGTTCTCAGCCTGCTTATAGACCCTGTTGCCAAAATTCAGGAGCAAGCCGTTGTTGGACAAAGGCCCATTTCACCCCCTCCCTCCAAGTCAGTGGGAAGCAGCATCTACCAACCAGGGTAACTCTCGTTAGCTGGCCTGGGAAATAACAAGAAAAGCAAATCCTCGACCAAGGCAATGGGAAACCCCTTCCATTACAGCAGTGTTTCTCAACCCCAGTGACTTTCAGATGTGTGGACTTCAACTCTCAGAATTCCCCCAGCCAGCCTGTGGGGAACTCCCACAGCCAGAATTCCCCCAGCCAGAAGATGTGTGAAGTCCACACATCTTCAAGTCACTGAGGTTGAGAAACACTGCATTACAGTATCAAGGTCATCAGTAGCTGTCCTTGCCTCAAGGGAGGAAACCTCCCAATTTCACAATTGCTTGCCCCAATTTCCAAAAGAATTCAGGGAAAAAAGGAAAGAAACATTCGGCCTTTTCCAATTATTCACTGCAATGTGTCTGTGGTCCTTGGCCAAAAAAAAGTAAGAATGACTGTGGACTTCTTTTAGCAGAAAAATAACACACAACAGTACAGGGACTAGTGGTTAAAACGGAAGTGGGACAAACGTAACAACTATCTTACATCTTTGCCTAACACCAAACATTCTCAGCAACACTAACATACTCTGCTTCTGAAAGAATGCAAACAATAGTAAATACACAAGCAAAAATATATAGTGGTTAAAACACCTAATAAGCCCCAGCATGCTAAACATAATATAATAAAACCTGGCAGCGTGGTTATGCATATACTGAATCTCATCCATGAAAGCATGCCCACAAGAAGGAAGTGTTCTCCAGATTTTTCAACTTCCAATTCAGCAGAAGGATGATTTAATATTAGGTGCCTGAGCTCTGGGCTGGCTTGCTCACTCTTCCAAATACCATAATTTCCAAAAGGAAAAGATTTTAAATGGATTGCAACTCCCCATTACAACCAGACTGCAGGAACTCTGGTTAGTGAACAAGTCAAGATAATATTTCCAGTTTTATCCCTGAGGTAATACTTGTCATCTGCCCTGTATAATAAATAAAATACTTTTGTTAAATGCGTAGAGGCTGACCCCCTTTTAATCAATTAGAACGGTCCTTTTAATCCATTAATCTGACTGATCAATTAAGCTTCCAGATCTTACAATTAAGGACAAAAAATAACACTGGCAGTTGGAAACATACCTCTTCATCATTTAAGCATGCAAGCCGGTCCACAAGCTCGGGGTTGTCTGTTAGGCTCTTTATGTACTCTTCGCCTACAAAAAACCCATAATTTACACTTTATGAGATCAAGATCAATCATTTATACAACAGAAAACATGCTTGAGGGAGAATGGAGAACTGTGGGTAACAAATGAGGCAAAAGCACACATTTATCACTCAGCAGAGAGATTACGTGGAAAGGGTTCAAGCAATAAAATGCACGATCACAAAAACCAGGACGGCAGGCCAAAGGGGGTCTGGTAGGTCGGCAGTCTGGGACAACCTTCCAGGGATGTTGGGAGTGGAATTCCCAGAATACTGGACAGGATTTTAAGCCTAAAAGGAAGCAGTTAGCTGGCCACCCCCAAGAAGTGAAATACCAGGCTACGGCAGGCCTCGCCAGACCCAGCAGGGCCCTTCTGGTGCTCTTGGAAAACAAACCACAGCCAGGAAGGCCAGAAAGCTGGACTTACAGGTATACGTAGTTATTCCCTCTTCTACAGCTTTCTCTTTATTTTTTCGGTCATTCGTGAGCAAGATGACCGTGACATTTTCTTCCCTTTCCGATTTTCTCAGGTGTTCCTGATACCACTTTGCTGCAACCCGAATGGCCCGGTCATTCCGGTCATTTGCGCTTTCTCCTCGTTCTTGTTCTATGTAGGTCTCTCTGGGAACAGAAACCCAGAGGTTCATTTTAGAGATGAAAACCGTACCTTGATTTCGTTCTATACCTATTTCACTAAAATCGACCCCCCCCCTTCCCCCCACCTCACTTGACCAATGCTACTGAAAATTTTAAGGTGGTTTTAAGAATGCTAATAAATTGTGGGACAGCCATCCAGGGGTGAAATGAAACTCAAAATGGCAATCTGATGCAATGTTGCACCAGCCCATCGAGAGAATCAAGCTGCTTCAGCACTGCAGCGAGGTATGGCGCAGGTTCCCAGTGCTTTAATGCCACAAGAGGCCTTTGCACAACTGTCATGAACATCTAGCATCATCTCGAATGGAAGCCGAACGGTTGAAATAACTCTGTAAGTCAGAAACTCCTAATCAGAGTCAAATGTATGCTCTGTCGAAGAAACTGCTGGGTCCTAATCAACAGTATTCCTTATCTTCCACTGAAGTGGACTTCATTAACCACAGATCTGTGGGCCGGCGACAAAAGATGTAGGAAACGTTCATAACCCTGCCAAAGAATCTGTGCCAGCGAACGCAAATCAAGCACCGCCTTGGCTCAGGTGCAGAAACTGGGCACTGGGCTAGCCACGATGGGACATTTCATGTCATCAGAATAAAACGAGACTAGGGTGAAAAGGAAGACAAACCCTCCTAATACCTAACAGGACAGCAAGACAGCTCTCCGTCCTGTGAAGACAGTAAGGCAGTACATACGGACTAATCTGAAAAGCGCTATTCGAAGGCACCGCAGCCATAGGAAAAGCATCGGGGGGGGGGGCCTGTGCGGGGCCTGCAACTCCCTCTTCGCACCATGCAGGAGCGGCTCCTTTGCAACAAACGGCTTGGGGCGTGTAAGAAGTTTAGGGCCCAAGGAAGGATTCAGCGTATCTCTAGACCAGGGTTGCTCAACCTCTGTGCCTCTAAGAGGCATGGACGCGCCGCGCCCCCCACAACCACCCCCCACACCCAC